GTCAGAAACCAACAAAAAAAAAGGCATCCTTTAACATCCGCATGATACGCAGCCGGTTGCCTTTATAATTTAACGGCACCCGGCACCATCAGGAAAAAACGCTGCAGGACAAGGGCGAAAGTTAAGGCAGTGAAAGTCTGAGTGGGGAGGGTGGGAGGGGTGATGGATGGGTCCAACAAACATCGACTTTAACCAGAGAGAGAGCGGTATTTGCATCCCAGAAGATTTTAAAGCCAAACCCTGTTCTTTTTTCCTAAACCTAACCACGTGCTTTTGTTGCCTAAACCCAACCATGTGTATTTGTTGTTGAAGGAAAAAAAAAGGCAATTCGCAGTGGTGTACCGACATAGTGCATTTATTTCCTGTGAAAACGTAAGTGTATTTTGAAAGAAGACAATGTATGTAACAGGCAGAACTTGACATGGTGTCCGAGGACGTCAACAACCAACACACCCAGGGTACCTTTAACGTCGTATCTGGACGTGGAAAGTCCATGACCAAACGTCAATATGTGACGAGGTCGGAGTGAGAATGTGTTGTTCCCACAGACAAAAAGTACTTTCCTAGCTTAGTATGGAGCAATGAAAATTCATACAGACCTAGAAAATAAACACATCACAAGGCTTTTACATACGTTGCATTGTTTGCCATGTTCAGGCATTGAAAGGAACAGTTTTGAACAGTTTTAGACTTGAACAGTGACCCCTAAGCCATAGAATTACAAAACCTTAACAACTGTTGCATTGTTTGCAATTTTGTTTTTGCACAACAATGTTCAGACATCAAAATAACCAGTTTTATATTGATTACACATTTAGTGGTAAAATGGACTGAACTTGTATAGCGCTTTTCTAGACCTCTGACCACTCAAATCGCTTTTACACTACATATCAAATTCACCCATTCACACACACTGATGGCTGAGGCTACCATACATGGTGCCACTTGCTTCTCAGTAGTCATTCACACACACTCACTCACCGATGGAACAGCCATCAGGAGCAATTAAGGGTTCAGTATCTTGCCCATGCTTCGACGTGTGGACTGGAGAAGTCTTACGATTGGTGGACAACCCACTCTCCCTCTGAGCCACAGCTGTCCACATTTGTGACTATTAAAAATAATCCCTGTTTTATGAGGACATGTTTCCCCAAAACTATTTATTGTTCAAGGACAGTACTTCCTCTTTTTTATACTTATCAGGTCCTACTTATCCCAGATAGCTACCAGAAGTTAAAAGTGCCAACCAAACAAAAGCTCAGGGCTCAGGAGGATAATAACAATATAGTGCAAAGCATTTGTGTGACTACCTTGAGAGCTGACACGCAGTTTTTCTGTACTGCTTTTCAGTTACCCCTTACAGTTAAAGGGGTACTACTGCAATGTAGTTGCACTTCTGTGCCACTGGGAGTCTCTGAGACTCTAGAATCAGCCAAGCCCCAAAGATGCAGGGTCCTACGTTTCATGAATTTACACTTTAACTATCACTTAACTTTTCATCTAGCATCATCATGTAGTCAAAATGTACTGATCCAATGTAATATTAGTCCAGTAGTACATGTCTTGATGAGTCAACCTCTTGTGTGAAGAATCATGTCACACTTATTGTACATAGAGTATGATGTTAATAATTTAAAATGGTATAAAGAGGAATAAGCAGTCATTCATACCTGAGATGTACACGATGAAATATGCAAATAAACATCCAGCTCCTAGCAATATCATGGCTGTTGCAGTCTCTAAACTTAGAATCTAGAAAGAAATTGAATAACAGCTTTTGTATTGATGTTTTCACAATGCAAATCCCCCAAAAATATGAAAAAATGTATAAAAGTGTAACTCACCAGTCTCTTTACAATGTTAAGGCTGAAGGAGACAGAATGGAGTGCTAGTCAGTGTACAGGAGGTGGACTAACAACACGCAGTGTCACAACAAAATTTCACTCTCTTCCTCTTTAAATTGCTGATTGATGAAAATAGATTTATTTTTACACGGAACCCTCTTGATTTTATCTACAGACAGCTCATATAGTTATCTCTTTACTCTTAATCTTATATAATGCTTTGCGACATTTTCACGTTGTGTAACTGCTTTCCATGAAACACGCAGCCCTATTAAACTAAAACACTGAAGAAAGTGTTAAATGTGGTTGGTTTGAATTCGAGGGAACGGTGGACATTACATCAGTGACCACCACCTGACAATCATGTCCATCAGGAGCAATCTGTGTGTTGTCCTGTTGGTCCTACATTTTTAATGTTATAACTGCAATGTCTTAATGTTATAATTGATGGATAATATAACAACATTTCATTTTCTTTCAATCCATGGATGACTTCATCATAGTCACATCATTTCATTAGAAAGCAGATTCTCCAGGAACTAAAGAATTAAACAATATAAACAAATCCAACCAAATAAGCACTAAAAAATAATGATGCTCAAGAGCATGATTTCAAAATCTGGTATAAATTAAAAAACTATTGAATGCACTTTATAATAAAATTCGAGCAAACAATTGAAAAGGTTACTGACTTACTGTAAATCATAAACGTGACTCCACAATTATCTCTTCCAACACACAATCATTCTTAGAAAACATCCCGTTACTTAATTTCCTAGTACTTTGCTTGACTCTTAAGTCTATTTGATTTCCTGACAACTGTTGGAGCTGTTTATATAAATATACATATCAGCAAAATACATCTTTAGGTTTCTAAAGCTGCATGCAGATGTTGTCAACATGTCACGTATTCAACACAAGACTTACTGGCTCTAAGGACTATGAATGATAATATCTGAATGTGGAATTTGAACATGACACAATTACCGAACATGAACATTTAATTACTGCCACACACAAACAAGCCTGATAATTTAAAATAACTTAACTATGACAAGCTCTGAAATTTTCTCCTGTAATACCCCAGAAACCATGAACAGAGAAGATATTTAATCCCTCAAGCATGTTCTGGGTCTCCCTCAGGGACTCCTACCAGTTGGACTTGCCTGTGAAACCTCTCTCAAAAGGTGCCCGGGAGGCATCCTGATCAGATGCCTGGACCACCTCAACTGTCCTCTTTCGATGTGAAGGAGCAGCGGCTGTAGTCCGAGCTCCCTCTGGATGCCTGAGCTCCACGCCCTATCTCCAAGGCTGAGCCCAGCCACTGTTTGTAGGAGCTCAGTTTGGTTGTTAGTACCTGCAAGTTCATTCTTTCAGTCACAACCCAAAGCTCATGACCGTAGGAAAGGGATGGGTTGTGGATGGACCAGTAAATTGAGAGCTTTGCCTTCTGGCTCAGGTCCCTTTTCAACACAATGGTCCACCGCAACGCCTGCAACACTGCTGATGCCATGCCAAATTGCATGTCCATCTCACGCTCTATTTTACCCTCACTCATGAACAAGACTCCGATATACTTGAACTCCTTCACTTGGGGCAGTATCTCTTCCAACCCAGAGGGGGCAAACCACCGTTTTCTGGCTGAGAACCATGGCCTCAGACTTGGAGGTACTAAGGGTGTTTAACATATGGTTCTCTTTAAACAAACCAAACTCAGTCCTCTTAAAGTGGACCAAAATGTGGACCAACAAAAAAGAGACTCAGTTCTTCTTGTGTCCACATCATCAGTAGCCTGAGCATAGACATATATACATAGACGCTGCATCGACTGCCTGAGCGCGTCCTCGCCGGCCGCCATCTTGGATGGGTCTCGCTTCGCCTCCACAGTGCATTCACTTCTATTGAGGAAGGAGCTGTATGCACAAGTAAAATAGAATAACTCACTGAATCAGTTGAAAATTCAGTGAGTTCCAGTTCTCTTTCTGGTCAGCTTCAGCTCTGATGGGGCCTCAGTCCTCTTTCTGTTCACACTGTAGCCTATATATAATATATGTTGACATAGTTTTGTTTTTACTTTGACGTGGCACTGCAGTGCGGTTATGAATCCCGTTGCATTCAGATGAACTTAAAATTGGAGGAAAACCTTAGCGTTTCTGTGCTGTAGACTGTTGCCATTTGATGTATTCTACATTCCCCATCTGGAGACGTGCAGTATCATCTGTGGACCTAACTGCTCTGCGTCCTGCATCCTTGCAAGCATTACAGGCCGATGGGGGTTTCATCTGTTTTTTAGCAGGCTGAATACAATGGCAAAGACCAAAGCGAACCCAGAGTGCTTTGTGTTCACAATGCACAGGTTCAGTGAACTGCACAGATGACTTGAAGCATCAGAGGGGTCTGAGTTCTCTTGGTGTGTTCACATGTGCGCAAAAATGCTGAGTCACCGCTCTATAGGTTCGTTTGGAGGGCTAAAAACAGTTGTATTTATCTATGAAGCCAGCAGAACTGTCAGCTTTGTTCTCCTGTGCTTTCAGTTGTTCTTATGCCAGTTAACTTTGTCTCCACGATCGTAGTTATCTGGTATCAGATGCTCCAGTTTGAGTACCATTATACAGACAAAGGTTTGTTGCTTTTCAGAGTATTAACCCTTACATACTGTTGAAACATTTCAACAACAACTAATGTTTTCTTACATAATCTTGTGCACTTCCTTTTCACACTATTCGTGCATAAGGTTAGGAGATAGTGAACAAATGTTAGGAGACATGATCTGGAATGTAGAAGATAATATGTCCTAAGTCAGGATAATGTCTTGTGTGTAGGAGATCATATCTTTTAGTGAGGAGATGAACTTTTGGCCAACACCAGCCTCAAAATAAATAAAACAATCCTCAGCTTGCCTCTCAGTCAGAACACCTAACATCTGGCTTTAATCTGTCTGAACTGACAGATGGGCTGTAAGAGACATTTGGGCAGCTGTGTATTAATATGTCTCATTGACTATATGAAGATTCTGCTGCTGTCCATTCATATTGGAGCTGCTGTATATTTGGGCCGATGGCGCCACCTGCAGTGTGTAGGCGGCACTGGGTGGATGTGAAGAATGAGACTTACGTGAGAGCACCTGTCCGTCACCGCCCCTTCCTACCTGTTGGCACTTTAGTTTCACTTTGTGTGCTCGTCGTCGTGTCGCAGCTTCTTGTCTCCATCTAAAGGTTTGTAAGCTTTGACACTTTTCACTGTATGACTCTTGAATGACTCTTTGTTAGTTCAGTTCCTGTAGAAACTTGTTAAAGTGGAGTTCAGTTTCCACCATGAGAGGAGGATCAGTGAGGACCGGACAGACACGTCCCTCCAAACCCTCTGAAGAAGAACAGAAACTCTTCAGTCCGGACTTTAACACTCTCCACTTCTTACTCTCACAGTTTGTCACCAACTATTTAGACTCTAAAAGAAAAGTTAGAGGTCCACGCATGCGCACAGTAACGTGTTTTTTTTAGTAGAGAGAGGCTGCTTAGTTATGTGCACGCGGGTGTCAGTGTTTTTAAATAAACAGATAAGGGCGCGCGCAGGTCGCAGTCAGTTGGGCCTAATTCCAATCTGATCCCTTACAGACTCACTGACTTAGAGGCGCGTTCATGTGAAGTGCGTGAGTGTGTGAGGGCTGTCCCATTGTCAAATCGTCAAGTCAGTGAGTCAGTGAGTGAGCCCTTTATGCCCCCTTACCGTAGGTCAGCATCGATGCGGACTTACGGTAAGGAAATTACCCACAGTTCATAGCGTTGTGACCTCAAATACAGGGGTTGCCCTCGGAACACCGGAAGTAACACGGTCGGCAGATATGCAAAGCTTAACGTTATGGAAGGAGAGCGAAAAAAACAGATAGATAAACAATGAAACATTACATTAACAAGGATTTAAGATGGTACATGAACACACATGAAGTCAGAGGAATACCAGTGGTTATATTCCACACACAAAGAATATATATCTATAAGCCTATATAGATATAGATAGATAGATCTATCTAGGCCTATCTATCTATAGATATATATAGATATATATTCTTTGTGTGTGGAATATATGATGACAATAACCGATAAATGATCACGCCCAGAGCCGCCAATGTTAACAACATTTTGTAGAGAGGGGGATAAGTGCTGTCCCATTCCTATTTGTAGCATCCGGAGCCCTTTCAGACTCTCACACTCAATCACTTAAAGCTGACGTCAGTTAAGTCAGTGAGGGTTCAGGGCTTGAGTCTTTAGGGGCCGGATTGGAATTGCGCCTTACTTTCGGTTCAGTGCGTCGGGGTCGGGAGCGCACCTGTGGCGCACTTGGGCGCGTGCTAGGATCAGAGCTCTCCGCGTCATGACGCACGGACACTTGGGATCCTTTTTGTTCAGAGGAAACTTTGGGTGCGTTCCGAATCACATCCTTTTTACTTTTAGTAGGTCCTGCAGCTGCCCTTACAAAGTACCTCCTGTTCCACGCAGTCTGCACACAATCAGGACAGACTACTGTCTCATAACAGGACGCCCTGATTGATTCATACACACACATTAAAGAGGGTGCACAAATTCATGGTGTGAATAGCCTAATAATTTTCTGAGGAGAAGATGTTTTTGATGTGTTGTTTGGTTTCATTTTCAAATCTACCAAATGAGCGTCTCCTGTTGTTGTACTTAGACTTGTGTATATTTTTAATTTTTAATTTAATTTTAATTTTATATACTTTATTAATCCCCGAGGGGAAATTCAATCTTTTTCACTCTGTTGTCAATCAATTACACACAGGTCCAAACACACACATGCACAAACAGGACCTATACATGCATTAAGTGGAGAGATGTCAGAGTGGGGCTGCCCATGACAGGTGATAATAATGATAATGAGGAAACAAACAGGGAGTGCTGCACTGGGTTAAGGCTCTATGTAGTTAGCTGTAAAACATCAGGTGCTCTTGGAGGACAGGGCAAATAGTCACATACAGATAAAAAACAAGGACTGTCCAGCTCACTCAGTGTAAAAGTCCATGGTACAGGCAGGCAGTCCAAAAATGCATATTTTTCATTTCCTGTCACTTAATGTGCAGGTTTGTCACAATATAGAACAATTCTTACTTCATCTCACTGTTGTTTCTTTTTATTTGGCATTGAACCTGTTGTTTTGTTACTAGATATGTAAATTACTCACAGTATACACTACATTTACTTCATTTTCATTTGCACTTTCTTTCTATGATTTTTAACTACAGTTAGAAAGCCTGGGATACATCTTTGGACTGCCTTTCAACTTGACAAGATAATGATCAGCTGGGTAATATCTGTGTGTCATTTTAAAGGACACTTCCCTTACAGCTGCAAAGCTGTCATCTGTCTGCGGCTCAGTCGATGTGACGTATCGTCCGGTGTGCAGAGGATTGTGGGTCAGAATAAACTTTTACTGGTCGATGACATTTAGAGAGAAACTGGTTTTATGTTTGTAAGTGACCGTCTGCATAAAGAAGGTGTTCAAAGCACATCAGCCATATTCAATCAGCACAGAAATAATGATGGCTGTTATTATTTTGGGTGAACTGAGTGTGTCAGCTCAAAGTGACATGGTGCAGTTTTCCTTCGTGCCACCAGAGGGCCACAGATCCACTAACAGCCTGACTGAGAGGAGACATTAGTGGTGGATGTCACGTGACTCAGAGTCCATCAGTGATAATCAGGAGGTTGAGTCCAGGAGAAATGATGTAAAGGATGAATGAGTGATGACGTGCTGATCAGTGATTGGACTGATGCTCTCAGTGTTTCCTCTACAGATGAAGGTAGAAAGTCTCTGGGAGCTGATGGGATTGATTTTGGATGATGTGACGAGCACATTGGAACATTTGAAATGTTGAAGAGCTTTTCAGAGTCGCTCAAACACAAGTGAAAAGTGAGGTCATCCCCAAAGACAGACAAAGACAAAGCAACATGAAGTGTGTCCCTGTGGTGTAGAAGAGGACACATTATGAACTCTAACAGAGGCTGAGAAAACCTTCTTCTTCCTTCACATCATTTCACTCACTGTTGTTCTCTCTCTCATGGAGTCTCTGTCCATAAATGTGCTGCCATGTGTGAATGAAGCTGTAAGAAACATCAGCGTAAACGTCTCCTCTGTCTCAATGAGCAAATATCACTTTAACAAATCCATGACGGCAGCAGTGTCACATATTTCCTGTCTGAAGAGGGCTTAAAAGAGCCAGTCTGCCTCCAGTCTGAGTCCTGATGGAGCACATGGTCCCACTCAGATCAACAGAAAACTCTTTGTGTCCACAGACCTGGTCCAGACAGCAGAGAGCTGCAGAGTGATGAAGTCCATGAGAAGAAACTGAGTAAGTGGACCTTTGATTGATTCCAGTCTCTAATGTGTCTCTGTTGGTTCATGTGTTCACCTCCTGTCTTTGATCCAGACTCCACAGCACAAAGTTTATCTGACAACAAACACTTTAAAGTCTAATGATGAACCTGTCTGTCTGTCTGTCTGTCTGTCTGTGTCTGTCTGTGTCTGTCTGTCTGTCTTCATCAGGAGGCTGCAGGTTATCACCAACATGAAAAGGTATCACACTCAACACTTGACATCACATTTGATCCTGTTTCACCTTCAACATGTTCATCAACTCTCTGTTTCCTGTTTCTCTGCTCTCTCACCTCAACACTGACTCATAATAAACCTGTAAATGTACTCAAAGAGCCACAATGTGTCAATATAACCAGTTAATGGTCGGGACCTCGGAACCTCCGACCTTATGAACGCCGCTTAATCTAAAGCAGATGAACAAAACACATGCAGGTTAGTCTGTCACACCTCGTGTTAAGGGCTGTACCCTTCAGACAAACTATAGAAAAGCAACGTACTTAAAGTGACATGAACTTTTATAGAATTTACATCCTTAAAATGACAAACTTTTATGATAGCAACAATAGTTATCTACTGCTGTGCGTGTATTAACTCTGGGGTTTTTAACCAGGGGTTACACAGAGACAAAAGTTTTCAAAGTGAATCCAACAGAAACAAATGAGAGCATCTGTGAGTGTGAGGACGATCAGCCCACGGTTTCATGTCAGAATAATATGAGCCGTGTTCACACTTTATTCTTTGTATGTGTGTATTTGTGTTGTATATATAGTGAACGTTACATGATGTGTCTCTGTTAAAGTGTCTGAAGCAGCAGACTGAACACATGTTGCACAAACTGTTGATACAAAAACTGTTGGAGACAAACTCTGAGATTAATCACAGCTTCAACTGTTTGTCATATGTCATGCTGTATCCATGGCAACGACTGTAGTCCTCATGTTAACCCTGTGGACTCAGCAGTGTCACAGTGTTAACAGTGAGAATTTAAATACATGACAGAGTGAGTGAAATGTGGGAGGGCTCAGTGTGCAGGTCCACAGGGTGGAGGTTTAGATTGTGAGCTCCCCCTGGTGGTCAGTGAGGTTTACAGCTGCTCTCAGTGTTCCTGTCAGTCTGCAGTCATCCTGTAGGATTCTACTAGAGTCCACAGGATGGGAATGCTGCAGAGGTCTGGAGAGCAGCTCCAGAGTTTTGGGACTAGTGTCAGAGGTTTGTGAGGAAGCTTCAGAGCTCTGCGAACAAGTTGTAAAGGTTTGGGGACTCATGGTAGATGTTTGTAGCTTAGCTGCAGAGGTCTGGTGACAGACCTCAGTTTGATGAAGAGTCAGTAGTGTCAGAGAGTTGCCTGTTAAAGCGTTGCCCTTGTATATCCTAACATTTTGTTGGTCACTTGGCTTTTTCAAATTTAAATGGATTATTTTTGGGGTTTGGACAATTTGAAGACATCATCTTCGGCTCTAATTGACAGTACTCGGTAATAATTTACTCTTCTTTCATTTGTACATTAAACTGTTTTTCGAGAATATCATCTGCAGATTCATTGACAATGAATTAATCATTTGTTACAGCATAAAGACAAGTATACATGTATCTCTGTGTCAGACATTAGCTTCATTGGTGCAGTGTGCACCTCACTGATTAAATGTTATCAGTTCAAATCCCAGCTGTGACAGAAAATATAGTGTTGAGTTCCCCTTATGTGACACATAACTCCATCTTGTTAAACCATAATCTTCAGCTGTCAGCACTCACACACATTTTCTTCAGTAAATTCCGTTCTAGTTAAACGTTGCTGTGTTGATCCTTTTCCCGCTGATAGCTGATAGTTTCTCCAGCAGCTGCTGAGGCTGAAGACTAAAAACTGAATTTCCCTCCCTGCTGGTCTTCCTCTCTGTGTGCTAGGATCCATCAGAGACCAGACTCACCTGGACCAGAACCTGAACCTGACCCTGACCCCAGCTGTGCGTCCCCCAAGTCTGACCTGTCACATGAACATGGCATCGATGTTAAAAGACGAAAAGACTCTGCTGCATGGTAAGCTGACATTAAATGTCAAATGAAGCTGACAGCTTCCCAGTATAACTGGTCTCCTACTGCTGATATTTAAGTTTAAGAAAAGTGGGCAGTGGAGGCTGCTGATATTTTGTCCTGTTGGGTGAAAAGGACCATAGAGTCAAACTAAAACTACATGTCAGGTCATCAGTCACTTTCTGGATAAAACATGAAGCGAATCTATGATCTGATATGTGTCCAAACTACAGTCATCACAGTCTGTATGAATAAAGGCAATCAGTGAGGGACAGAGGACATTACAGTCCACAGTGACTGACAACAGGTTCAATCAAACTAAACAGCATCAGGTCGATGTCATCAGAAAATAAAAGTGCATCCCTCTCAAATAAACAACTGAACATGTGTCAGAGAGCTGCAGTTCAAGTGATGAAGGTTTTTATTTTAACAGCATTGAGATGTTTGTAAGAACTTGTCAGGTGTGTGAAGATGTAGAGTGAAAGATGGTTTTCAGATTGAGGTGGAAGATGTTCAGTGACTCTGCTGTCCTGACTTCAGCAGGAAGTTCATTCCACCACTGTGGGACCAGAACAGAGAGGAGTCTTGACTGAAATGAGAAACCACAGGGTCCTCTGAGGGACAGGGTGGACAAACGTCCAGAGGTAGAGGAGGAATGTAGGGTCTGAC